CCCCAATACTTTCCCTCTTCTCCCCAATACTTTCCCTCTTCCCCCAACTCTCTAGAATATTCTCCTTCTTCTTCCCAATACTTTCCCGCTTCTCTCCAATACTCTCCTTCTTCCCCCAACTCTCCTCAATACTCTCCCTCTTCTCCCCAATACTCTCCCTCTTCCCCCAACTTTTCACAATACTCTCCCTCTTCCCCCAACTTTTCACAATACTCTCCCTCTTCTCCCCAATACTCTCCTCAACACTCTTCCTCTTCTCCCCAATACTCTCCCTCTTCCCCCAACTCTCCTCAATACACTCCCTCTTCTCCCCAATACTCTCCTTCTTCCCCACAGTACTCTGACATGGAGTCAACAGGCTCCAATTCTCCATCTCCCTCTCTCTCGTATTCTCCCCTCTCTCCGTCTCCCTACTCTCCCCAAATGAGACTTTCTTCCGATAGTTGTTGAATTTTTATTTTTCTATTAAATTAATATTCTTTTGTAATTTTTTTTATAGTTAGAAAAATTTAATGTTAGTTATTTCATAACAATTTTTTCCTTGTAATCAGTGCCATTATGAATTTTAATAAGAATTATTTCTTTTTTTTCTCTCTGTTGTTCACTTGCAGGGGTATCAGCCTCTCGTGGAGGCAGACATTAGGACGCCCAACGCGCTCGCAGATCTCATTGCAAATGACGGAGCCGACCTCACAAACTGTCTTGGACTCCTTCTAAGCTAGCTGATGAGCCTTTCTCTCCTTTTTGTTCACTACTCACATACATGTTGTAAATAGGGTTGCGGAGCCAACTCATTGTTGTCACAGTATTGGACTCTTTTTTGGCTTTTTTGTAAAGGGATTATCTTACCTGTTAGGGTTATCGTAGATCCCAAATTTTGTAAGGGACGCTAGACCCAACACTTGTATTTACTTCTTTTTTTATTCATTGAAACAGTTAACTTTCTCAAAAAAAAAATGAAAAATTAATGTGGTTTGTCTCTACATTTTGCAATCTACTGAAATACATGTTCTGAAATTGAGTATAATTGGAATTGTAGACAAGGAAAATTGTCTAGAGCTTTGTTGTTTGTTTCTTACATGAATGTATTCAGCAAAAATGGACCAAGGTTTGCAAGCAAATGATACTTTATCGTTGTTCGATAATTGTATGACCTGTTTTCTGTTTTGGGCATTCTGTTTGTGCCTTTAGCAGTGTGATGTGGTTCATATAATTTGCATCCAGTGGAGCCCATGCCATATATTTGTGGTGACAAAATTGAAATTAAGCTTTTGTTGCTTACTTCATCCTATTTTGAAATCTACAGGCTAGCAAAATTTGTGGAACAATCTTTGTTTTAGACTGATGCTTTATTTATTTGTTTCAAGCTATGCAAGAGCTCCATTGAAAAAATCAGTAGGGTGGTGCAAGAGTTAGAGTTTGAGAGAGAGAGAGAGAGAGCTCCATTGAAGAAAATCGGTTGGGTGGTGCAAGAGCTAGTGTTCATAGGTCGAGTCGTGGTAATGGCGCTCTCTCAAGCTGTCCCAGCCCTTGCTTTCTTCCATGGCAATTCAACTCAGACAGTAGAGTGGCGCCCTCCCCTCTCTTGGTTGTAGGTGCAATTTTCTATGCTGATCTCTCTCTCTCTCTCTCTCTCTCTCTAGAATAACGTATACATGACATTGTTTCTTAAGTGATTTTTGACATTGTTGTGGTTTCCTGTGTTTACTTGCTTTATTTAAATTTCATGCTTTTGATGGTTCAGTTTCTGTGTGTGGTATAGGCATCCTTTATAGGCTTCTTGAATGTGGAAAACAGCATAGGAGTGTTACTAAATATGGATGCTTAACTGAATTTAACATCCACTGTGGTGTTTCCCACTTGGGATGATGCTGGGATGTGAATTTGAATGGTCATAGCTGATGTTTATTAAGCACTTGGTGAAGACCATGTCCTAGATTGCCACCATTCTGGAAATGGTCATTTATGATTTGAATTTGACCTCTAAAACTTTGAGTGGGTTATCATATTGACATGCTAACTTCTCTTACTGTTTATCTATAATGTCCCCTTGAAATGTTAGAGGCAAAGCTACACTTGATATAAAGTTTTGTGCATTTATATGGCAATCTGTTCGAGGAACGGTAACGTGGCCCTTGGTTTGTTTGTGTCGGAGCCCCATTAAATTTGCTTTCGTTTTTGGCCCGGCCTTCAACTCTTCTTGTACTAAATTTCTCTCTCTATCATTATTCTGTTTTTATATGAACTTATGAATTCTATACTACCACATTGGTGCTGGTCTCATCAACACAAGAACCACCTGCGCTTACTTCCAAAATATTTAGAATTTAGATTTCAGAGAACTTTTCTTCCCACTCACCAAAGAAAAACACACACACACACAGATGTTTCCAATTTTATATCCATTCATGGAGAACATTGGTCCAGATTGCAAGTTTAAGCATACCTTATTCTGATACAACTACCCCAGTACTTTTGTGAGCGCACAAATGCTTCACTGACCCCATCATTTCCTTCTTAACTGCTGATCCAGTCCTTCCCCTATTGTCTTTCTTGTAGGTACCTCTTAATACATTATTTAAATCTGCACATCATTCGTTATCTCCTTGGGGCTTCACCTTACGGACTCAGGCCCTTATCCTTGTGAAATACCCAAAAGCCTCCAACGATGTATTAAACTCTACCCATACTCCTCCGTGCGAATCTATTAGCATATGGTTACTTCGCATTTGGCTGTTAGTTCTTTTTATGGCTCATTACGTAGTTATATGCAATTATTTATCTATTGAAACTCTTTTTTGGCCACACTAGAAAAGATGCATGTGATGGGTTTTGAGAACATCTCTCCTCCAATTCAAAACTACATCTTGAGTGCTTTAGAGTTTCCCTTTAGATTATTTATCTTGTTTATATCATTTATTCTATTGAAACTCCTGCTGTTTAGTTTTCTTATAGCTCATTGCTTGGTTGTACGCGATTATTTATCTGTTGAAACTCCTGTTGAGCTAATATTCTTTCCTTGGTGAGTGTAAGATCACTATTAGATTTTTTTGCTCGATTGTATTTCATATTAGATTTATTGTGCATGCACTAAAGTGTGTTTTTTATGGCTTCCATTATTATTTCCTATTTTTGCCATCGCGGTATTTTTTATTTCATTGATACATTTTCTAATTTTCTTGTTTGATCCTCATTTTTCTTCTTTCTGTTTGTCCTTCCTTATCTTCTTCATTCTCCTCAAGCCGTCATACACTTTCTCCTTGTTCCAAATATTCTTCTGAAACGTAATCTAGAAATATGTTTACACCCTTGCTAAGAAGTTCTTTGATAACTGCATCTGTTGCTTTGAACTGGAAGATGCAGGCCTTGGATGATACATTTTATTAGTTTTATCATGTTAATGGGATGATACATGCAATTACTGCAAACAAGGGATAACCTGAGATTGTTTTTTGTATTTAAACTCTGACAGGTCACCTATGGGATGTAAAGAGTGTTGACTGGCACCCTACCATCTTTGCTCGTTTCAGGTTTGGATGTAAGAATTGTGTTACATATCTTGCACTTTACTTCATTGCTATGCAGTGTTGTTATGATGTTTTATGTACCGGAACGGTTATAGGTGGCAAGGAAGCCTTGTGAAACTTTGGGATGCAAAATTAGGGAAAGAATTTTGTTCATTTTGGGTTGGAACACATTTTCACTGAAAGACGAGATTTGGTTCCATGAAAATTTAATGATTCACTTCCATTTAAATAAAATAAGTGCAACTTGGCGTTTATAAATGTGCAGACATGGTCACAGGAATTGGGTGTTTTTTGTCAAATGGAATCAAAATTGTAATTGGGTGCTCACTTCTTCAAAATATCAGATCATTAAAGTCAGCATCTTCTATGCAGGCTTCCGTAAGTTCATTATTTTACCTTTCTAGGTTGCTCATGTTTCCTAATGTTGCATCTTGGATATGGCTGTATTAAATAATCTGGTGGTTGCCCGAGATCTGGCAATTTTGATGGCTATCTATGGCCTACTTTGAATTAATGTGTTCTTTTAGCTGTGAGCTTATCTTCTTGTTCTTGATGAAACCATTGCTTCATGATCTCGTATTATAGTTTGCACTTTCCATCTCAGTATTACTGTACTAAGTTCGGAACAGATGCAGTAATAGGTCTTCTGTGTTGAGACTGGTGCTGAACATGTTTTCTACAAATCATGTTTCTTTTAGTTTAAGGAAGTAAGGTTGGGAACTTGGAGTGTACAGGGATGAAAGTGGCCATATAATTATAGTGCTAATGATCAACTTTGGGGTCACTGCTTTCTCAAGGACTGGGGCCTTGGAGACCATGCAGTCATGCATTTTTGTATGAGGCCTCTTAGATTGCTTTTTATATAGGGAATGTTATCAATGTCATTTGATGGGAGATGAATGGTCTCCCATACTCCCATTATATTTAGCATTATTATTTTATGGTATGAAGGATATTTCGTAGTTGATTGCTGGATAGTTGTCTCTGCACATGGCCCAGCTAATGATGTGGTGGCAGGTTAGCAAATCATGGTTATCCGGATGATCATGAGGGGTATTTTGATCCTATGTAGCCTTTTCTTTCACTGGGTGATGATATTCGTTTGCTGTAAAGAGAGTTTTTTTTAATATACTTGCTGGGAGGATCTCTTGCTTTTTTGTTACTTTAGCAGATCTGTGGGATGAGTTATTTTTTATTTTTTTTTCATCTTTTGAGAATGTCCGCATGAAGGGTCATAGTGCAAATTAATATGCTTTTGTTTGAGCTCACCAAATGCTATTGTGTTGATTCTATGTATAGATGTTCGTTGACTCTGTGATGCATCCATAATTTTTTAAAGGCTTGTTGATGCATGCATAATTGTTTGTCAGACATTCGTTTTTCTTAACAGTGTATAATAGTTCATTAACTTATTCCCCAGTGTTACTATCTCGACCCTACTCACCATTTAAACCTTTATCATATTTTCAGTTTTATGATACTATGAAGGAGCTTGAATCTTATTGTGGACATCGCAAGGATGTAACTAGTTGGTAATTTGTTTGTAGCTTATTCTTTTCTAATTTATTCTTATATACATAATAGAAACATCCCCAATGGCCATTATACTTTTGCACTTGTAATCCATCTGGTGGACTCTTTTTTTTATTGTTTACTTATAGGTTACTTGGTTTTACTTTGTAACAATTAACAAGTAACAAATTGATTTGGTTGTGTGCTAATTGTGTACTCAATTGGTATGCGCGGTAGTTGCTTCCTTTTTTTAATTATATCTGCCCATTCTTTGAACTCCTGTTTATGGCTTCTTCTGCCTAAATATTTATGTATATCTATTTATTCTGTTTGATGGTGCCTGTATTTAACCCAATCAGGGATGAGTTTCAAGTTTGCGATTTGTACAAGAATTTATTAGAATCTGATATGATATCTACAACTCTATTGTTGATGTTATCATTGATAATATTTACGTTTCTCTCAATTCTTTTTCACTAGAAGCACTGTATTGACTTCATCTTAGGGACTAAATTCCAACCCATGGTTCTAGACTATCTAGGATCCTTCTTAGATGCTTCGATGCTAGTTCACCACAAACTTGTCTTATTTTCAATGTAATCAATGAATGAATGAGAAATATTAGCACTTTTATGTAAGCTCTGATCATTTTTATCTGTGTTAGGTATCAATATAGGGAGACCATATCTGATAATGTTTTCTTAAAATAAATATTTAAAAATAAATATTTGCTAGCTTTGGCATGGCATCCTTTTCATGAAGAGTATTCGTGAGTGGGAGTTACGATGGATCTATCTGTCACTGGCTTGTTGAGTAATGTCTCTTTCCTTTCAATTGAAGCCACATGAAATGAATAAATCACACAAGTTGCTGGCAGTATAAGCTTGTGTCTCTTTCTATCATATATATGTTAGGTGCTACTGAAAAGGGTAAATTGATTCCAAATTTATCTCAATTTTCCTCTTATTTAGGCAAGTAGATTCCTGACTTATAAGTTGCTGATCCAGTGAGCATTAATTTTTTAATACATTGTGATGTAGAACCAGAAAATTAAACATATTCCAAGTACAGCACAAGCAACAATTTTGAGGGGAACCAAGGTTGCCTCCCCAAAACCCTAATTATGGAGCAAAAAGCTTCCCTTTCCTCTTTGCCCCCTTTTCAAAGTCATGCGAATAGGTCCCTAACCCTCCATGCACCTCTTTTTATATCTTAAATGGAATATGAAATGCCCATAGTGTTCTTCACCAAAATAAGATTGACTAAATGGTCCTAACTTAAAATAAAATTCATAATAACATGTCTACAAACTCTACACTTGATAAGACAAAATGTTCCATAAGCACTCTCTAACTACTTTTTTAAACAAGTCCTAAAATCCAAAAAATATAGAAAACCCTAGAATCTCTAAAAAACTTAAAAACGCTGAAAATAACCCTAAAAACAAATTAAAATATATATCCTTGAAAATTAAACAAAAAATGAATATTAAAATAATTTGGTCCTACATCAGAGTCCCCTAATTGGAGAAAACTCATCCTCAAGTTTTGAAGTAGGCATTGCATTAGTTCCAATACCTTCTTCAACTCAATACAATGCTTTGAGATTAAGCATTGAGATTGGGGCTTCGAAATCAATAGACTAGCACATTTTGAGAACACCTCGAGGAGAGTGTCATTGTATGTTGATGGAGTCTGTCCAGCCACATGAACTTGTTGAAATGGCCTAAGTTCAGCCCTAGAACATACCGCGTGGTCATCTTTGAGATGACAGCTTGATTCGATTGTCCAACCAACAACTTAATCTATTGATTCTCCTTGGACTTCATAGTTTTCTTTCTCAAAGGTCGGCTCAACTACTCAATTATGTTCATTGTCGTATATTAAATTTTCTACAAGATATTGTTCTTCCACTGAGCAAGCTCAAAGATTGATTGAGAAAACCGATATACAGCCCATTGATTTTGGTGACAATGTGTGTTAAAATCATGAATGTCCACCTTCAAATTTGAAGACCCTAAAGTAATGTTCCCCACGTCTAGGTCTTCTATTATGCAGAGCATGTTTGCGGAAAGTTCATCGTCTTACCCATGATTTATAGCCATGAGTTGTTGTGCCAGCTGCTGAACTTACCTCCTGAGATCCTTAAGCTCTTCATCTTTGGCATCTTAGGGTAGGTCTACGTGAGCTGTCCTTCCACGATCCTTTCTTTCTGTCATAGGTTCGTCGAAATCACAAATCCTAAGGACAAAAATCAGCAAACTCTAAGCTGAATTCGGCAAGTTCTAGGTTGAAATTACTAAACATGGGCTGAATGAAATTAACAAACTCTAGACTTGACCGAAGATTTCCACCCATGCTACTCAAGAACCATGTGTTCTAATGCCAATTGATATGGATATTTATGAAAAAAAACAAATTAAAAGTTTCCAAGCAAAGCACAAGCACTAATTGAAGGGAACTAAAGTTTCCTCCCTAATAACCTAACTAGGGAGCAGAAGCTTTCTTTTCTTTCTTTTCCTCTTTACAAAGTCACGTGATCTAGACCTCCACCTGCGTCTTTTACATCTCTAGGATCTCTCGCGAAAACTACTCTGCTTCCTTACCCATCTGGCATGCCTTGGGTGTTGTTTATGTCACGTACGACAATCCTTGTCGTTGTGTTCCCTCGGCTCCCTTCACCAAAATAAGATTGACAAATAGATATCTTAAATCAAAATTCGTAATAATATTTCTCACTTAATAAAACAATTATTCCATAAGCAGTCTAACTGCTTTTCTAAACAACTCATAGAATTCTAAAAATACAAAAAAAAACCCTAGATCCCCAAAACACTTAAAAGCCCTAAAAATATACCCTAAAAATTAAAATTAAAATATTACATAAGAATCGAAAATAAGAGCAATTTTGTCTTTCATCACTGTACTAATAATGGCATTTTTTTGTTTTTTATAGTTATGGTTCCAATTTGTTTATACCTCATCTTGTGGAATTGCAGTTGCTAGCCAATGGATAGGCATGAAAAACCTCATGATGAAGTGAATAATGCACATGAAAGCAGTGTGTGGGACCTTGCCTGGCATCCTATTGGTTATATCCATTACAGGTGATCACTGATCTTGTTCTGAGTAGTTAAGCAAAATGTGCTTCACCATCTTTAACTTTTTCGCATTAGGACTTCTTATGTTTTACACAATTATAATCAATGATGTATTTTTTATGGAAAACAATTTAGCTTCCTTTGATACTTCACCATATTGCCATACTCTCATTCTCACCAAGCCAAACTAACATGGATATGGCATATTTGCTGTTAAATCTTCTTCTTTATACCTAAACCGAATGGGGCTCTTTTATTCTCAGTAGAACATTTGAAATTTTGAATAATTTATTGGTCTGATTGGAATCTTGCACTTCCTGTTTAAAACATGGAATGACTATATAGTTCAAAAGAAATGTCTAATAGCTGAGAACAGGCTCTAAAGCAGAGTGGTCACAATCTGCTTCTTTATACTTAAATAAAAATGGATTTAAGTAGAACAGGCTGAGAATAGGCTCTAAAGCAGAGTGATCAAAATAGCTGAAAACAAGTTCTAAAGCAGAGTGGTCACAATCTGCTTCTTTATACTTAAATCAAAATAGATTTGCTTTCTGCTCAGGAGAACATTTGAAAATTTTGAATAATTTATTGGTCTGATGGAATCTTGCACTTCCTGTTTAAAATGTAGAATGACTATATAATTAAAAAGAACATGCTCTAAGCAGAAGTGGTCAGGGTGGTGAGTGCCACAACATGGCATCTAGAGTTCGATTCTCACCAGGTTTCAAGTTAATATTAAAAAATAATGAATGTTTAATGACTGTATTTATGGGAATCTCTGAATTCTTTGTGAGTTTGCTGACCTTGTCAGTTAATTGTAGTGAGCCAATGCTGAACCATATTCGATAATCACTGAGTATTGTGCATTTTTCTTTCTAACATATTTTGTGGTTAATTGTCAACTTCCTGTGGCATGAAGCTTTAACTGTCCTTGCTTGAAGCTCTGTTCCATAATGGTAACTTAATTCGCAGTCATTTGATATATTGCACTGGCAACAATGACCACGCAACCAGGTTTTTGTGTAGAAATTGATCGGGAGATACTTCTCGTGAGAAACATGTTGCTCGTGAAAAACATATTGCTGGCTACAATCAAGGTATGGGTTTATAACCTTACAATCAAGATTACATGGGAGTAATAATCATAGTAGCAAAACAGTGACATCTTTTATGATTGTTCAGGGGAAAATCTTTTTTTTTTTAACACAAGACCAGGGTAGGAAACTCTCAAAAACAAGTATAAGGTTCCTTGCTCTCCCCTTGTCTTAAGTTGGATCACATTGTACTTTCATGTGGATCTTGTCCTGATATATTTATTTTGCTTTCAAGCAAAGAAATATATATTTCTAATAGGCAAAGAAATATATGTCTAACAGGCAAAGAAATACATATTTATTATGCATCAAGTCTTCCGCAGTTTCATGTCTAATTCTTTTCTAAGTTCCAAAATTAAAAAAAATAATGTCTGGTTCATTTTTTGCTCTACAGGTACCGGTGATGCTGATGTTCTTACAGCCGCCTATCAAGCAATTTCTCATTACCAGAAGCCCCACCCGTAAGCAATTGCACGTGAGCTTATGTATGTTGAAGTGTCTAATAATGGAAGACCTACCAAGGCTATGATAGACACCTTTCAAAATTGGAGAGCATGACATACCTTTCAAAAATACAAAATAGAGGGCATGAGATGGGTAGGAAAGCATGAGGAATGAGGGATGAATTTAAGATATGTAGAACACCTTTTCTAATGGCAACTATGGCTTACTCTGCAACATGTATATGCCCAATGTATATGCCCAAGTTACGTTACTTCTTCCTTAAAAGCATAATAATTGGTTTTTGATGTGTATTTTTACTTGAAAAATACAAATCCTATTTTTTGCATTGATGGCTTTAGGGTTAAGAGACTTGGAGTTTTGTGAACTGAAACTAGGACATGAGAACATGCAAATTCACATGCAAACCGACAAGAAGATATGTAGACAAAAATGTAATGGAACTAGTTTTATTTGATGGCCCTTGATAAAATTAACTTTATTTTTCACATAAAAAGGAGATTATACTTGTGATTTTATAGAATCACTACAAGAATATTTACGGCCACATCTTAAAAAAATATGATTGAGGAATTATTTGTTGATAAATAAATGAAACATGTACACGTACTTTATCGCGGAATCATTCAAAATAGTCATGAATATTGGAATCTCTGAATATTTGAACTTTTCAGCAAGTATTCTAATTAAATTGTTTAAATATATTGAATTCAAGGACATAATGAATGTGGTTTTGAAAGGAGGATGCAACATTCTTAGATACTACTTTATTAGTCTAGTAAATCATTGTAACACTATAATAGCACATCTCTCTCTCTCTCTCACACACACACACAAAATCAAGCTTCTACTAACTTGGGTATGTTCTATTAATACAAAAAAAAAAATAGAACATGGAATCTCATGCTAACAGCACAAACAAAAATGAAAAAGGAGAAATATAAAAGAAAAACAAATGAAAAATGACTGGCAAGGGAATTTGATGCGGAAAGTATACAAAATAGACTATTTTCTTTTAATAACATGAAGTCGCAATCATGCTCGTCCATCAGATTTTGAATCGGATGGTTGTGAATGTGTTATTCACTAGGCTCAAGCTTAAAAAAAAAAAAAAATTCCTCGAAATTTCTCGTACACCCCAAGCCATCCAATTTGATATGTCCCTTTGAAATAATATAATTAATCTTATAGTATAGAATTTCATATAATGCTATATTAGGGTGGGGTGGGGTTGATCCAACATATAACAATTTGCGCCCATATATCAAATGGGAAATAAAGAACCTGCAATGGAATGTTATATTATTATTTATGGAATTGTTACTTAGAAGTTTAACATAATGAATTTAAAAATGTTCCACCATTATCCCCCCCTCCCCCTCGGAGAGCATATATTGTTCCTTGACTCCCTCAGTTAAGGCTCAATCTATTATTATTTTTAAGACTTCAAAATTTGTTGATGTAAGATAATTTATCTTTAATACCAGGAGTTTATTTTTTTTGGTGGTGCAAGGATTTTGCAATCAGCTATGACCATGAGACTTACTTATTACCATCAAACGTGAAATATAATATATTTTGTATGTCACAAAGTGTTAAACTTTGTTTTTGCCTAGTCAATAGAACAAACTCAATGATCCACTTTCACATCCAACGATCAAATTTGATTGTGACATCCATATACTAAATACAAGTGTGGTCTTCTAGTTTATTTTTCCATAAAAAAACCATCAACTGCCGCCTTCTTCTCTCTCAATGGGGGAGACCAAAACGCATTCCAATAGATATGTCCGATTCCCTCTCCTCCACTTTTGGCTTTGTTGTGGTTTCATTTTTGTTCATGTAGGGTTCCACTCTCTAAAGGTTTCAACCACAAACACAATCTTCTCCTTTTTCTACATTCTCTCTTTTACTAAAATTTAGATCTCATTATCTTCTCCACCTACTCAACTTTCTCTCACTACAAATGGCAACTTTCTCTCACTACGAATATATATATATATATATATATATGTCACCCAATCACTACACATTCAAATCTTGCTCCCATAAAATGTCCTCTCACTAAACAAGAAAAGCCTACCCACACAAATCATTCTTTCTCTTACTTCATTTCTCATAAATCATGCATCCCTCTCACTTCTCTCTCTCTCTCTCTCTCACTCTCCTTGTGAAAGCCAAAGCATGCTGGCCACAAACACACATTCTCTCTATCTCTCACACTCAAACATAGGCACCTTGGCAACATAGCCCCTCGGGGTGTAAGTAGGCAAGGCGGGCCCAACATGGTCTCAATGTTACACATAGGCCTGGTTATGGGTTTTTTATTTAGAAAAATATATTATGAGACTATTTTTCTTTGTTTCAAGGAAGTCACAATCAATCAATCGCTCCTAAC